TAACAGATAGGCAAGAAATTGAAAAATTAAAGCCCAGATTTTCAAAGACTTTTTGTGGCACCTTATTCTAACGATTTTACCAAAATCGAAGTATATGGTGTTGGTGAAAAGCAATTGAAACCATTCAGCCCAAGTCACCTTTGGAATGAGGATGAAATGAATCTGTTTCTTTTCCAAAAACAGCTTGTCCCCTCTTCTCCTTACCCTCAGCAAATGCACGGGGCTGGTTAGCTGCATCACCTTGCCATAACACCTTCTGCTCTGACTCTCTTACTCCCACTGTTGCCCAAATCTACTGAAAAAATAATCGCATGATCATCTCTGCTCAGAGCCTCCTTCGTATCACACAGGACACAAAGACAGACCATTGGGTTGGAGAATCTCTCTTTCAAGAATGGGGTTTTACAGAAGCGAGCACTTTTCCACTACAGAAGTAGAATTACATCGAAGTACATTTGGTGCACAACTGTTTGCATATTCTACAATAGTTCTCTGTCTTGGTGCGCTGAGAAACCTCTGTCTATGTCTCTATTAAGAATTCATCACTTAGTCCTAGTTTGCTTTTTTCTCCTCCTTTCCTTCTGAAGCCAGAACACTAGCCAAAACAGCTCCTGAAAATGTTAAGTTCCATTTTCCACAATAAGCTCAGCTGTTTCAGTTCTTACCACTCAGACTACCTGGAAAGTAACGTCTGAATAAGATCTCTGTCTGGCTGAGGTTGAATTTCAGCTGTAATATGACATTTCCTTGTCCTTGTTCTTAACTTATTCACGAGGTGGCACCAGTACTCAAAAGATGGGAAATGCCAATTGTAAATGCCAGAGGCCGTTTTTCTAGCCTCCCACTTAATTGTCATTTGTTTCATTAGGGCAAAGCCAAAAGGGCCACAAGAGCATTCACAGTGACAGAGGAGCAGGAGATCCTGTCCCAGTCAGTGTAGGACATGGATGAATGGAAAGTAGAAATAAGCCAAATATAATGTATTTTTCATTTCCAGAGCCATTTATCAGGCAGTACTGAAAGAATTACTGCTATTTGAAAGAATAGTTTTCCAATGTTTTCTAGCTGATCAAAAATCCCATTCCCTTAAAAAAACTTTAACAGTCCTGCATCAGCAGAGGTGGAGGGTGATTCCCTCTGTCATTTACATGCTTGCTTTGAAGCTATGTGTACGTTCATGCTTATAGGCTAGAAATCTACAACAAAGAAAAAAAAAAAACACACCACATGTTAATCCTCTTGTTTGTCTTCCCATCCTGGGTCCCCCTCCTCTCCCACTTTGAAGTTACACAGAAGTAAGAAAGCTTTTGGATAAATTTCACTACAGCCTTTTACTGTTATGTATTTCCTGATCTTTCCTTTTCTCTTGATTTCCCTCACCTCTCCTTCATAAGTTTGAAGTGGCTGGATGGCCCAAATTCTTCCTCCAAGGTGGAAGATAGCTCCCTAGATGGACTTAGCTAAAAAAAGACAAACCACCTTTCTGCAATCCTAATATATGTACTTTCAAGAGAGCATGTCTGATTGATTGCCTCCAAAACATGGCAGCCTCTGCGTTCTCTCTATACCCCGTTCAAACTTGATTAAAGACTTAATCATTTTTATAGGCTGTTATGAGTGACTTTCCCCACCTCTGCAGAGGGATTACAAAATAGATACATTGTATTTCACTGAAATAATGGTGAAAATTCCAGTACCCCGATAATGCCTGCCCAAGCCTCCACCCAGAGAGCCTCAATACTGTGTCGTTATTCCCAGCCCTACTTGAATTGTGTGGTGCATTTTTTGTTTGTTTTTGAGAGAAATTTAGAAAGATTTGAAAATATGTTATCTATTTTTCCTTGAGCTAGCACTTAGTTCCTAATACTGATTAGGAAAACAGCTGCAGGAAATGTGCAAACATGCCTACTTGGTAGACTTCTGGAGACTAATCTCATGCCTACACTTTTAACAGAAAGAAGCATCCTCTTGAATGGAGTCTTTAGAAACTTGCATTTCAAACTCACTTGCAGTGAATTTATGTGATGTTCTGCCCTTTGCTAAGCAGGAAGATAAAATCAGATAAGATCCAAATGTCTTTTGTTTGCTTGACATCAGCAGTAATGCAGCTGCTTTTACAAATATTCTGTCTGAAGTAGTTTATATTTAGAGCTTCACTTGCACTGCTCTGCTGATGCTTTTATGAATTTGCATAGTAAAATCTGCCATATTTGTGCTTGTCTGTTTACTTCTCTCACTCTCTTTCTCTCTCTCTGTCTCTATCTCTCTCCGCTTGATCCTGCAGCACAGCCCCTTAGGACAAGAATCGTCCCTCCTAATGCCAGGAAACCACCTAGCCAGGAGATGTTGCTACAACTGAAGCCCATAAATTTGAAGTTTAGAAGTAGCCTTCCCTTCCACCCATACCACCAGGGATCCCTCCTGAGGTGAAACGGAGGGTGCGACCATTCTTTTCCATAAACATTAACCCAAGTCCTGTTTTTCATAGTTTTTGAAGAAGTTTCTGGACCATAATAGTTGGCTGCAAATCTCCCCTGGAAATAAGGAGTGGCATAAATACACCATAACATTGAAAACACTTGTGAAATGGCCACGTGGGCAGAATCTGTTGGCTCTTAAAATAGTATTTTGAAAGTTATCAGTCTTTACTAGAACAGACATTTATGTGAAAGTTGTACCCTCTCTTTGCTGCATAATATGCCTCCCAGACAGCAGTGAAGGGCTAGGAGGACTTGGCTGGACTGTGGTGGCAGTAAAACTGTGGCTCCCCATCGACAGACCTCTATGCAGACCTCCAGCATCCCTCCCCTTCTGCACAAGCACATTTGAAATGGAATAGTGATTGCCATAAGCAGAAACAGACATAAACATTACAATCAAGATGGAGCTGCTTTTGCCTAGGAGATGTAAGATTATGGCAAGATATCTTAAAATTAGGAGAGCTGTGAGGAATGCAGTAATGTACTGCACTCATTTCCTTCTGTTGCTCAGTCCTTCAAAACAACCATTTTTCCTATTATTAGCATGTTAGACTTCATATCATCTCCTTCTTTACCGTAAATGAGAAATCCAGATACTCGTTTGTTTGCATTTCAAAGTTTAATAGGTAGAGCTCTCAAAGAGAACATGTGGCTGCTGAGCCCCTCTTGAAGTCAGCAAATAAGTCAGAAAAGAGTCCACTTCAAGTAAATACCAATTTTCTAACATTCCTAAAACGTTAATTGGAAGTCATTTTTAAAGATCCACAATAGCTTTTTCAGGGCAGGGGCAGGGAAAGGTGGATTCTTGCATCTTTTGGCTTCCCCAGTGAACATAACTTTTGAAATACAGTTCCTTCCTATGCTGATGAAACTAGATTCTTTATATAACTACAGCACCTCCGTATTTCACAATGATTACAAAAGCTGAAGCAAGAAGTGTTCTCCTATCAGTCCTCATAAAGTACTTGCTACGGTTTAATCAGTTGTGACTCATTCAAAGAGCACAGGCCTGCTCTGTTTTTCCACTTGTTCAAAAGTCAGCCAGCAACATAGGTGGTATCTCAAAATCCATTGATTAAAGTTTCTTCACTTTATTAATAGACTTTTACCCACACCAAAGACTTTAGCAAAGCACACATGATACTTGTGATTATTGGTACAGGATCAAAAAGAAACCACAGCTGCAGTTAATCATTCCCCACTATGCATTTTGTTGTTTAGTGAGAAAAGAAGCAAGAGCTTTCCGGAAAAAAAACAAACAAACCAACCAACCCAAGACGTTATTTTCATTTCATATTCATTTTGAGACTTTCCTTTCAATCAACCTTTACCTTACCATCACAATCAAACTTTCCTACTTATCATTATATGGGCTAGAGGATTGGGGCAGTGAATTCTACAGACAACTGTCTTTTGACAGCTAACTGCTTCTATTGCTAGTGCCACAAGGAAAACTCGCAGGGTATTTTTTTGTCTGAAGCTTGTTATTTGACCAAACAGAACTCCCAGCACATGATCTTAGTGCATGTATGCTGCTTTGTTTTTCCTTTTTAATTGATGACTATTAGGTATTTGTTCCATAAACTACTTTGGCCTGAATCTCTCTCTTCCACTTACCCTATTAGGACAATATGGATTATCAACAGAATAAACCATGGCAGCTTGGGAATATAGCTCTTGGAAAATAAGTGGGGTAGATAAAAACTTGGTGCTGTGGGAGGGGAGTTTTCCCTGCAGCACCAGTAAGGCTGCATCCCATACCATCCCATGTTTCTTCTAGAATAGGACATCACCTTTTCCAAAGACCTAGTTCCATTATCCTAGGCCATGACAATATGCCGTGCAGAGTGTCTACAAGCTTTAACACAAATAAGCCATGGTAAACTCTGATTTCCCAATGGTTTAGCATGCTATTGCTCAAACAAGCAGCTGGTTGACACCATTAAAAAGACCAGCAACATTTGCACACAAAGAAGAGCTGATAAGAACTGCTCAGTCCCACCAGTGCACTTGAGGCCTGTAATTAGCTCATTTGTACAGAGTCTAGCACAATGGGAACGGTAACCTCAGGCACAAACCCTGTCCAACACACTAGCAGTGAAAATAGTTTTTTCGCTTTGGAGATACTATAAAGAAATCATGCAACTCACCAGGAAAAAGATAAGGTCCTACATGGTCTATAAAGAGCTTCTTCAATTCATTTTATTTCTATGTACAGAGCATAACAAGTCTCTTTACTCTGATATTTAAACAACAACAGTAACATAAGCCAGAGGTAGCATGAGGGTTTTTTTTTTTATAAAGTTAGTATTTATTAACAAGTTATCTTCAGTTCTTCTAACATCTGGTTTATACGTACCTCAGCTGAAATGGAATGGAAAAGTTCAGGCATACTGCATGAAGTTGTTACAGTTTTGTTGATGACTTAAATTAGTTGCTGACATTTCTCTCAGGTACTGTATGCAGACAACTTAGTATTATGCAGAAAAGTGACAAAGGACATACTAAGTCTCACACAGCTTAATTTATTTTTAAAAGTTTATTTGCTTTACTTAGATGAAAATTTTACATTTTCTTGATTACTTAAGCAAACAGAAACTTAAGAGCATTCTTTGGCTTTGGATAAATAATATCGAAAAGAGATTCCTGCCATATAGGACAAAGATATCAAAAAAAATACATTCCAGGTTACAGGTTTTCCAGAGAACACATTGTGGACTAAGTATCACTTCAGAGAAACCTCAATGTGTATAGCCCGCATTTATTTATAGACAGCTGAGGCAAAGATAAAGATCCTCAGTTAAGAGGGCTGAAGTGCATCGTTAGTTATCACTTCCACATAGAGCCACGAGGATGTTTTCATAATCTCCTTTGAGTTCATCCTGTCAGTTTAAGTAAAAAAGAAATACAACTGTTAGGACTGTTAGGGTAATGGTCTCAAGTGAAAATAATTTCACTAAGCATTCAGCACACATGTACTAAACATCAGTCCTTCACCTAAATAAATTAACCACTTGATAACACAAATGTGTTATTCACAAGCTGAACTTCAACTGAGTACCATCACTAAAGTTGATCTATTCACGCCACATAGAAATAACCACACACATTTCCAAGTTGGGGCTGAGGTAGACCAAAAACCAAAAAAAAAAAAAAAAAACAACTTAGAGGCCTTATTGCATAAATAAAGAAGTGAAGCATAGAAGACTTCTGCCCAGGAGCTTAAGGTTTCCTTCAGTAAAGTGGAAATGCCTCCTTTAACCAGTGATGTCCAATCTTCACTATACACTATACAAAATCAAAGAACAGGTGGGGTTGGAAGGGACCTCTAGAGATTATCTGGTCCAACCCCCCTGCTCAAGCAGGGTAACATATGCACATTATATCTAAGACTATCTCAAACAGAGGTTAAGAATCATCCAGTGATACTGGATTCACCACAGAATCTCTTATTCAGCTGAACGCTGGCTCAAGTTTGAATCTACCTTGCACAGATGTAATTAAGTAGCCAAGTAGGGCTTCAAGCCATTTGGATAAAATCATCACTTTGGACCAAGATGAGGTGATGTAATCACCTCACATCACATCCCAAACTACAGCTTGCCTGCAGTCATGAGCGAAGAATATAAATCACCTTTGCTACTTAACTGGAAAAGTAGCAAACATCAGCAAAAATCAATAGGGTGCTTTAGTGCACGCAGGGAGTATGCTTCTGCTCCAACGAAGACTTTTTCTTTAGTTTTGTCTGCAAGCTTCCACAAAGCTGCTTTCCAAGTTTAGCTTTCTCATTGTATATTACTGGTTTAAATTTTCGAGAAAATACATTTGGTGGCCTGTACCCTTTTAGAAGCTATTTTTATGGGTGTGACTTATTTATTTAAATGACCTGAAAATCAGGACAAATAAGCGTCAAATTAAAAAGGTATTTTCATGAGTACTTCAGAGAGCCAGAGACACCAAATATCTCCAATAGAGCTGTCGGTGCAATCATCGCCACTCTCCTGCCAAAATACCTTATGCCTATACAATTATAGGCATTGGAGCATAGCGCACTCTCCGATCAACACTTGGCCTCTACTGTATGACGACATCCTGAGGCATGTACCATAAATAGCTAATTGCGATAGGTTTTGGGATTAAAATATTCTCTCCAGGGAATGAATTAATTCCACCAGCATACGGACCACTGAAAACATTATAGCTACGATGAGGTACTCAGGACGCACTGGTGACTGAGGAGGAGACGAGTTAGCAAACCCCTTACTGGCCCTCCTGAACCATCCAGTGGTTTCCCACTTCACAGTTCACCTGAGAGAAAACCTACCATAATGGCTTGGCGGAGAGACACGCCATACAGTCTCTTGTAATAACCTTTGATCTCATTCATGTCCACCTCAGAGCGTGAAACCATGATTCTGATGAGTGGTTTGTGCCGTGTCCCAGAGCCCTGTTAAAAGCGATAAAATAAGGCTACTTACATGACTGAAACGTCTTCCCAAATCAAGGTTTTGTGTGTTTATCCACCACCCCTAACTGTGGGAGTGCAGGGTCCAGACCCTATACCTTAACCATCTCTGCTCCTCTCATACCCCGCTTTTTTGTTCCCAGCCAACACTAACTCACTGGTCACAAGCTACTTCTACCAGCTGCAGACCTAGGTTTTCCTCATACAATAGGTGCTTCCAGAAAAGCGGTTAAGTCCTTCACTGTGCTTGCCTGACACCCGAGACAACCCAGACGTCACTGTTTTTTGTTTTTTTCTTACGAGTGTTATGAACCCCATTTTCGTAACAATATGCTCAGTTTATGTCCTGCTCCTTACCAAGTCACAGGAGTTACACAAATGCATATATACTAGAATTGGGAAATGTTCCAGTTTCATGAGCTCAGGCGGCATCACTCAACTCATGTTCCAAATTTGTCACAGGGACCTCAAATCTCTAGTCAAAGATTAGGCTCATTTGTGGTCCCCCCTGCCCTTGTTCTGGGATTGCTTTCCCATTTATTTTTGTGGTTTCATAAAGAAAAAAGAAAAGTTTCAATTAGCTTTCAGTCACTGCGCAGAGTAACAGATATGTGTGCGGACGTGCAGATGCCTTCCTGAACACACTATAGCAAATAAGACACGCCTCTCATGGAAGAAAACTCAAGAGGTTTCAAGGAAAGGAAGCAAAAAAGTAAGGCAAATATCCTGAATTTTTTTCTGCAGTTCTTTTTTCTCATACAAAGAACTTGTGAGTTCTCACCCAGGTTGTTATTTTTCAGCTTACAAAGCATCCCTTGCCCATAAGCAGAAGTTCTTGGTCTAGGTTACCTTCATTGCCAAGTGGAGTTTTTCAGCAAAGAAAGCTGGCTTGCTCGTGGCACACTTCACTGTAATGAAACAGTGAGGTAAGATCACATCTGACATATATGCAACAAGTAACAAAGAGCAAAAGTCTGGGAAGATAACACTTTAAAAGCAGTCTCTGTGAACCTACCAGCACCTCCTTTTTATCTGCTTCTTTTTTACCTGTCTTCAAAATATGAGAGAAGTGACAGTTCCTTTCACCATTCTGTTTATTCAGAAAGCAGTTCAGTCAGGCAAGAATACTCTCGTTACAGTAAAGACAGGACTGTACTCCACATCCACAAAGTTAAGAAAGATGTTGCAAGGATAAGAATGTGAAAGCATTTGTTTTCTCCACAGCAGAGCTGGGGGCTGTGACCTGATGCTCTGTAAACCAGATTATATTAACTACTTCCCATCCACCTATGATACTAAAAGGGATCTGCTAAGACTCATATTTGTATCCAGAGAACGCCTACCAAAGTTTAGTTGAAGAGCATCGTCCATAAATACCAGTGCCTCCTGGTGTTACTGGTGTGCAGGCAACAGGCCAAATTCATAATACCTCAGAAGAGGTCACCAACCAACTCTGTCACTGGGCTAGATCAAGGTATTACCCTTGCCCTCTGCCCCCTTGTCCTTCCGCTAAATAATGCCGTGTCTCTCATTTTGTCATCGTTCATATTGTTCACAGGGAACAGCTGTGTTAAAGATCTTAACATGTATGTTTACCATGAACCTTTACAAGAACCCCTTCTCGAACAAAACCTCAGAAGGGAAACTGTCATACTTTTATTCAGCATGTATTTATAAATGCCTTTGAAAAATAAAATTTAGAGGAAGAGTTGCTTTGGTCTCATCTGTTGAGAATACCTCCAAAACTATAGACTTTTTGATGCAAACAGTCCCTGTTCTGACAGGTCTCTTTTGCACAGTGACTTCCTGCAGAAATCTTTCTCTATCCATGACATGTCTGTTCTCCTTAGAAGACCCTTCTACATGTCAGGAGAGATAGTTCTGTTCATTCATCAACTTTAACTGACTTTAAATAACTCCGTTAAACCACTGTATGCAGACCAGATTTTCCCAGACTAGATTTTATCTAACAAGCTTCTCAATGAAGCTAGATAAGACCAGGATGGTCTCCTATTAAACAGAGTACACAAGAAGGAAAAAACGTTTTTTTCTCATGAGGAATATATATTCTGGGTTACTACCTGCAGAACCACTTACCAAGGGCAGTAAGGCAGTTCTCAATATCACCCTTCAGCTCCAAATCCAGTACCTTGTTCATGTCATGCTGGCTGTATTTGGTGTACCTCTGAAAGACTAAATAAGGGAAGAAAATAGTGATGAATATATGGTATTTTCCCTCTTACGCCTTTGTCTCTTTCTGCCCTTACTGCTGCACCTCTACAGAGAGGACCGGCTGTAGGCCATATTTCTCATCTTCCTTACCAAGCACAATGTTAAGAGCAATGTTACTGTATACCTGGAGTCAGCATGAGAAATAGGACTGTGGAAGGATGGTGGGGTTCATGTTCCCAGTGGTAGGGGAAGGGGAAGTCCAGTGACTCCACTGGAGCCTGTGTCATAAGGTAATATCTCCCCTGCCTAAGGCAAACTGGCTGGGGACCAAGACCATGTGGGTAAGCACTCAGGACTCTAGCCTGAAGAACCCCGATCCCTTCGCCTTGTGATCACCAGCCTTATGATACTTTGCGGTAACGGGTTTGTTAACAACTTAAGTGATATTGCCAGTCACTAGGGATTGTCAATTGCTAGGGAAAGGCCAAGCTGCCAACCGCACCCTTGGATCAGCAAGCACATTTCCAATTACACAGAGCTTTGCAGCAGTCAGAGTCGCATCTTGGGAACCCGTATAATCTCTCAGTGGATGAGCAGACCATGTACAAAATACAATTCCTGTGAGGCACGAAGTTTCATCCAACCTACCTCTTCGAAGATGGGGGTAGCTTCTTGCGGTAAGAACAGTAACAAACACATTAACATCAGTTCCTTTTCTTTTTTCTCCAGCTTCATATAAGGCCTATCATAAAGAAAAGGAGGTAGTACAGTTAACATCAATACAAGGAAACCTAAACAGAAATACTGCACTTTTGAGGCTACTGCCCAAAGGTAGGCTATTGCCTGTTTGCAGTGAACTGTAATCCTTGATAGAGCTCATAACAAGACACAAAATTCTGCACAGCCTCAAATTAACTCTAGCTCTGTCGAGTAATACTTCATACTTGCTTATGGCTTAATAGTACCGAGAGAGCACCATACACCTACAAATCATATTTTCAGACTTTTTAGAATCACTGTGCAGCTCTCTTCACATTCTTGAATGAAGATATTCTTCATGTGTCATGATACGCTATGCTCTGTTTGGGTGTGTAGGACTAGCAGGCCTTCTGCAGACAAAGAGAATTTGCTCTAATATTAACTGGGTAAATGTGAAGGAGAAACCTACGCACCAAGTACTCCTTGTCCTCGCAGGAGTGACTTTAACGAAAAGTAAGAACAACTGAATCATTCATCTCCTTCATTTTCCCCACCTCCTCAAATTTCTCTAGAAGTAATAATTAAAGATCTCCACACTGTAGCAAAGAAGATTTAATGACACTCTCTCTCTAGGTCCCAGCAACGAAGCCTTCTGGAACAAGGGAAACTTTATTGAACTGTAGTGCTTGTACAGGGCATTAATTTACTGTCTCTCAAACCTAGGGCTGATGACAAAACTAAAACTCTCTTATGTAGCAGGAACAAGAATAATATTGCTCACTGAGCTCTTTTTGTGGTTGGACTTTTAAAAATTTATTTAAAGTCAATTTACATTCGAACTGTAATAGTGATGCAAGACTTTAAAGTGGAAAATTAGACTAGACCGCTAAGCTTAACCAAGATCTCAAAAAAAAGTCACACTAACATAGGAGATAAATAGGGAAAAATTAGTTGTTTATTTTAGAATCATTAAAAAAATGACTGTGATATGCACTTAATAATCTCGAAAAGTACATTACTGAAAAGTGATAACCACAGGTGACATACTGCAGAGTTCACACTGGTCAAGGTACTGTAGCTGGTTCTTCACTTTGTCCCTCAACTGGAGAACTGTATTTACTTTATACATAAGAAAAAATATGTCCAATTTCTCCACCTACTGACCTCTGCTTCCTATGATCTACAACCTTTATATGAACTAGAAGACATCTTGCAGAAGCCTTTCTGAAACTAGATAGCTTGGGGGTTAAAGATTTCCTTTAGCTAGTGAAGCTTATGCCAACCTTGCAAAATAGCATCCTCTCAGAAAAAAATTACTACATAATGTACAACTCTGTTAAAAGTCTGCAATGCAACAGACGCAGGTAGGTGAAATGCAACATTCACAGGCAGGCACAGCTTCTAATTGGAAGTAAATGAAATAAAGGAACTGCAGAGCACCAAGTAGGATCTTACCCTGGCATCGCTGTCAGCCAGCTCATCATTCACATGAGGATCTTCACTTCGGTCAGCCTACGTAAATAAATAAATGACACGTCACTACTTCTCATTATCATTCAGTTCACCAAAACCCAGTATTCTACAGTTCTGGCCTGCCATCCTGGTACATGTTTTAATATTACAGAACTTTAACAGGCACACTTTTTTCTGTTCTGTAAATGAAGCTGAAGGGTATGTTAATCAATTAGAGCTCACATTTTTAAGGCCATTAGTACCTACTTTCTGAAACAGTACCCGCAAGAATTAGCGTTATTCAGTGTTAAGTTACATTTCTCAGAAGCTACAACTTGCTTCCTGATGAACTTCTACAATGAACTTCTTTCAAGGTCACTTAAAAACAAAACTGCAAATCTATATACACAGGCTTATCAACACACAATTTGGCATGCAGGTACAAGCTTCACACACATACTCAACAGTCATGGAGTCCAATAATCACTGCATTTCCAAAGAGTCTTTTTATAGCAGCTCTAGCGTTTAAACCGAACTGCTTTTGAGCATCAACTCACAGAACGCTTTGTCCACTTGTTAGCTCCCACCATCCCACTATGCTTACTATTAGAAATATATCTTAACAGCGAACCAAAAGGTTCATTTTCCTACTTATAAGCATCACTCTTTTTCTACTTCTACTCAACTGATGTGACATTACTTCTATTGTTTTTTTAAAAAGCTTACAAATACTTACCACAAAAAAAAGAATTAAAAGTAGATTGGATAACAGTAACAATTATCACATTTTTAATGCTCTTGAATAAAATCTCCTTACAGCTTTTTTTTTAAAGAACAATTTCATATAGTCTAACACGTGTAAGTAAAAATAACACAAGGAAATAAATATTACTTAAATTCTTATTTATTGTATTCCTTTCCTTAACATAGTCTTCACAAAATTAATCGTTAGCATTGGCAACAGCAGTAAAAATGTTTAAACACAGCATACCTTGGCTAGAGCAACCAAAGCCTTCTGAAAGTCTCCAGATGTGTCAGAGATAATGTCTTGTATCAGATCTCTCTTCAGGACTGAAATTAAATGAAAATGGATTCATAGTATGTTTTAAAGTTATCATCCCTATCATTTTTCCTTTCTTTATTTATTTTCTTACTTAAATATGCCTGATAGAGTTTTTCCTCATTTCTCTCACTTCGTTTTGAGAGAATGAGTATTTTTTGTAACATGCCCTCTCATTTCTGAGATGTGCTGTGAAACCAGGGGCTAGACTGAAAATCTGCTGAAACAGTCATTCTGGGCATAGGCCAGTCTTAGTTTCTTGCTTACGAAATACAAAAAAAAAAGTTTGAAACCCTGTGTCCCGCTTATCTTTCATCCCTTTTTTTCTGACTCTTCTAAATAGCACTGAACTACATCCAGCAGGACTCAAAATGCTTCTGAAAAACTGAATTATAAATCTGGGCTTCCAACTGAGACACGTTGAACGGAAATTTTTTGGAAACATTCGTCCATAACCTCAGAAGCCATGTGATTTAATTAGACAACACAGACTCACTGTATTAAACTCTAAATAAAGTGAGAGATGCCATATTACGTTCTAGTTACTCCTTCAAAGACCTTCCCGTCCTGCAACTAATGTGATCTGTTACTAACTCAATAAGTGTTTTTTCAAGGCTAGTGAGCTCTTAAGAGGTCAGCTAGGACTTAGTTAGGGGAGAATAAAAGCAGCTGGGTTTCACTTGCATCCTAGAAAATATCTAAACCTATCTCCCGTTCCATGAAACATCAACACTTGTGGCTGGGATCACGAGCCTTTTCCTTTTGCAGTGTGATCTCTTTGGATCAGATAAAGTCAGTATGGCCTCTCCCACATCCTTTCCTAAGCTAGCTAAGATGCTAAGCTAGCATCTTCTACTTAATTCCTAAAATATCAGCTCAGTTTCTTCTACTGAGAAGTGAGGCTGTGAGCATAATGTCTCTGCTACAGCGTTATGAGAAGACTTGCATGACCCAAACTAGATTTCTTAATGCTAGGTATTAAAGTTTGCAGGGATATGTTGGTTATGGCTGCTTAAAAAAAGTTTTTGATAAAAAGAATTCGACTTTGCAGAACAGGGCCTGTCCATTTTCTCCCAATGCTGGATACCTTTAATATTTTTTCCTTCTCTGATTTACCTTCTTTGTAGTATCTGTTGGCTTCTCTGATTTCTCTGTTATTTCTTGAGGCCAGAATCTCAATTAAGGTATCTTCATCAGTTCCAAGCCCCTTTTAAAAAGAGACTGAATTTTTAATTTAATACCGCAAACTTAAAATGTAGAAGAACAGGAAGAAGATGAAAATGAAGGGGAAGGATCTGAAAATCCCACATGCAGGAACACAGAGAAATGAAAAACATTTCTGCTTTTACATAATAGTCTTACTTCAACTTCCCTAGAATTCATTTTTTAATCACACCAAATATCACCAGTACCCTATAAGAGCTAAAATGACTGAGCAGGGTACATAGAAGATCGGAACTCGTAATCCATGAAGAAATACCCCCCATTCCCTTTTTTTTTTTTTTTAAACTTTTAAGAAAACCCCTAAGTAAACACTGTGGCCTTCTACCTCCACAGTAGCAACCTGTTTTCAGAAGACAAAGAGTTTATTCTCGTAAAAGAGTAGCATTTGCAGTCAATCTCCTCCAGCTTTGATATTCAGCGCAGACTGCCATGTCTCCTTCTTAGAGCATGCATTAGCAGTACAGATTTATTTTACAGAATGGGAGGGAAACGAAGACAATATGCAATCCTCAAAACGCAAGCCCAGTATCATTTTCAGGCCCTGAGAATTATTTACTTTTCTTAAGGAAGTTTTTCTGAAAAAGTTTTTGTCCAACCTTCATAGAAGCTCTTAATTCTTCAGCATCCAACTGAGCCGGAGTTTTCAGCAAGGCCACAACAACATCCTCCAGGTGACTTTTCAGAACTTTTTTCAAGGCTTCTTCCAGACTCTGTGAAAGGAAGAATGAAAAACATACTAAGCTCGTGCAGGGTTAAAAGCTGCTGTTCAGCTACAATGTAAAAATTAGTTTAGTATCTGAAGGATCTTAGTCTACATCACTGCTTTAGCTAGCTACTAAAGAGGATTGCAAAGACTTACATGAGAATTATAGACTGTCATCTTTCTGTTCATTACAGAGCTAGGTTTTTCTTCAGCAAATATTCAGAATGCTTTCATTCACCTATTTACAGCACTCGAAGCAGGCTCAAAATAGGCTGTTTGTTTTTTAAGAGAAGATACTACATTGACGTTATGATGGTGATTTAGTTGCTTAAATGTGTATATCTGGAGAATATTTTAGTTCATCTATTTACAGCCTAAAGCATATGGAAATTGTAGTGAAAATAATCTGGCATAACCTCATCCCATCCAAAACTGCAAGTCCTGAAGTTAAGAAGAGATTGGGACTGTACTCCAATCTGATCTACATCTAAGCAGAAGAAAAAAACAAAAACAGTATCTGTTTTATTCCGCCTGCAATCAGTGCAAAGGTCAATATATAACTGCTTTTTCAGGGTACCTAAGCCAATGAGGTTACTTCAAAAGCAAGCCATAGTCAGTTCTGTCTTGCTTTTGATGGTGCGCCAGGCACCTGGGTAGCTAATAATCTACAGCATGAGGCTCCCTGTGACTTTGAAGTTGTATGTTAATTTAGGCCTTGATAAAATGTAATTGTAAGGCTGGAGCTTGCTCTGTGGAAGAAGACAGCTGTGAAACTGCAAGAGAGGTTTCTTGAGCAGAAACACAAAAATCTAGGGTAAAATGAGAAATGTGACTTGTTTTCCACGTCAGCCTTTACAAGTCACTTACAGTTACAAAGCAAAGAAATCCAGGGAGTCCTAAGAGCAAAGGCTTAGTAACTTTGGTATGTGAACTTTGAAATTATAATTGCAATTCAGAGTTAGAAGTTCAACTGGAAAATTTTGTTTTAGGGATCTTTGTGAAGAGCAATTAAACTCTAAACCCAGTAATTTCCAAGCTCCTCAGTTCCAGGAATTAGCAGTTTTGCCACTAAAACGAATAAGCACACTGCTCCCTCTGCATCTGCGGGTGTGAAACAGGACTGTGGTCCTGCGTCTTTCCTGTTCCATTCTGTATTCTGTCAACACTTAAATATCCGGAGAGAGATGCTGCAAAATCTCCTTCTTTCTCTCCTTTTCTCCCAGCAGACTGTCTGCCAGGTGTTAGCGAGCTCTCTACATTCCCAGTGATAGAATGACTTAAAGGACCTTCAGGGCATTCAAACACCTGGAGGCTGAGAACATGGGATTATTCCCCCCCCCCCCCTCAAAATAATAGCCACTGTATCCAAAGACTCGACACTGGCAATGTAGTTTCCAGGGTACTATCACCTCTGTCACAGTTTTCATAAACTGCAGAAGGTAATTGCTGGAGCCTTTTGTTCTGGGAAGCTAAAGCTGTATGCACCACCAGACCCAGGGGCAACACTGACACTTCAGGCATACATTTGAGATGGACTTGGATATACTTTACCTTTCCTTTCAACTGCTGATAGGCAGCTTTGATCTGCTGGCGCTGGGCATTTGTTCTTTTAGTTAAGATATCAATGATGGTGGCTTCATCCACACCTACGAGTAACCATACAACATAACGTCTAATATATCGCAAACGTTAACAGTGCCTAGAGTGCTATTTAACTAAATCATCGTTTTTGTATGTTATTATCTGAAATGTGTCACATTTTGTTTGACACGCTCAAGTTTAACCAAAGGAAAAACTACAATCATCTACTGACTTAGAGAGTGACATAAGGAAGAAAGTTGATAAATCGGTTCCCATAGAACAGAAACCTGTATTTGCCACAGTTTTTCATAAAAAAGCCTTAAAGTCTTCTGGGAGCCAAACCTACACCACAGCATAACTAAGTAAAATAAACAGCATTAAATGACATACTCATTTAATCTTAGCAAGACAGACTGAAAAAGGTTTCACATTACAGCCACATTGGCCTACTGTTAATTCAAGCAAGAAGCCTAATAGAAGCATATAATACAGTATCAGCATATCCACTACTTCTCTCAGGTTTTTTCTTATGGAAATCAAATCAAAAACTATTAGCTTCATGTGTCATAATATTCCTTTTGATTCTCTGGAAATTAAACTGTTACTACACATCCTTCAACACATGCAGGGAGCTTAACGTAGTATTAAGGTCTGAAACTGTAATACAATGCCAGGTTATCAAAGAGTTCAGATGCTTTCCCAGGTGGCGTAATTTTGATGTCTTGCTAGGCTTTTGAAAGTGGTTGCATCTCTGCTGCTTATCGTTGCCTGTGACTGATATTTTATCCAGGGCTATGCTCAAATTTTCCTAAGGAAGAATTCCAATGTGATGTGTTAAAATATTTCACTCCTCTTACCTTTGACAGTAATTGCTTTGTCCAAAGCAGCAGCATCAGCTGATGGTTCAAAGTTAGGGTATGACTGGACTGGAGAGCCACCTTTCGAACTTTTCTGCCGGGAGAAAAAAAATACTCATTCCAAAGAATATTTATGCAAAGAAGCAGTTTTACATACCTAAATCATCCTTGCATTCAGGATTGCCTGTTATACCACTGTGAAGAAATGAACTCTGAGTCTAGTAGCTACATATAATTTAAAAGACCCAGTATGACGTATGTATTGGTTTTTCCTCCTAAAGGAACCCGGGGATAACTGGGGGATAATGAATTCCACCACATGACACATTATGTGCTTTGACCTAAGTCAACATGACAAAATAAGTTACTGGTAGGGCCCACACCCCGGCAGAACTATATAACCAATGTTCTCCTCATTACCCTCTTTGACAGCAGCTAAAAAATGCTCTGAGATTCTTGGATGAAATATTTAAAGAAAATCCCACTTGGCGTGAAATATTATAAGACCTTTTAGAACACAACAGCAGTTTAGCTAAACTTTCTTAGAATCAGCTGTACTCTTTGTCTTATATTCAATAATACGCTATCAGAATATTTTTTCATCTTTTGCCTCTCAAGTTAATTAGCACAAGACGAACAGTAACGTCTTAGGGATATATATTTCACATACAGCATTCTGTACTGAATTTTTGCATACTTGTAATATCTGTTAGTTACATTTTCCACAATTTTATCACCAGGAGTTGTATTAAACAGAACATAGATATTGCATACTTAAAGAAGTGTCTGGCATACTTAAAAAAAAAAAAAAACATTTTTTTTTCACTGTGACTTGTGGAAGCCAACAGAAGAATAGGTCTAGCTCAGTGCCTGGATCCCAGGCTAGCCAGATTAGTATTTGTGTGCTAGTTTCCATGACAAATTTATCTAGTAGCTAAATAAAAAACTGCCTGTAACCACTGTAGCTAGAATGACTCAAGGCCCTGCGAGCACAAGGGGGTTGAGATGTGGAGCCAAGGGATTAGTCATAATATGGTGCCGGACAAAAATCAGAAAGTCCACAAAGAAGATCTAAAGCAGAAAAGTTTGTTACTGAAATTCCCTCTTATACTTTATTTTTCCAAGATGAAAGTTGCTTTCAGAATCTGCCACGACTTCACAGCGTGCTGCTTTACCTGCGCCGACAGCCTTGTCAGTATCCTAATCAGCTTCCTTATCACAAAGACACTCCGGAACCACCTAGTGCACTAACATATAATTTCTCATCACCGTCAGCCTTTCCTTCAGATTTCTTCCAGTTAGTATCACTACCAATCACTTGAGATGCTTTATCACATACAGTGACTCTTCCCACCCTAAGCATGCCATATGGTGAGGAAACCAGTATTTATACAAGGAGCATTAGTTCCTCCTTTGCATTCCTGGGCTCCAACTCATGGCTTCCTGAACCTCAGTCTAAGCACCTCTAACTTCCCCACATACGTCATCTGCACACGTTCTTACACATTCACACTCCTGTGCATCAGATTACTACTTTACTTTGAGTCAAACGACGACTGACCAGTGGAAACAGCAGTTTCATTACAGTAACTGGCTCTGTCTATAAACTAGCAACTAGGCACTGAAATGTGCACCCAAGAATATTTTTTTATCTGATATCAGAGTGCTATCAGAGACTTTTTAGACTGTATGTTATAACAAAATCCTGTTCTAATTCTAATCAGCAGAATTTTGCCATCGTCTTTCCTCCCTTCCGAGTCTATGAAAGATGTTCGTTGGCCTATGGCTTTAAACCACTTCTAAAAGTACTTGACCATAAGCATGATGCTCTGAAAAGGTTATAATACTTACAATACATTCCTGCTCCTGATTGTCCATGAACCATGCCTGCTTCAGAAATTCTGCTACCATAGCCATGTTGATGGACTTTCTGGAAAAGATGCATCACATTATAAACCATTTTTTCTCATTTTCATTGCCAGTGCATCTCAAGCTTTCCCACTGCAAAGTCTTTTCTCTTGAATTATGAAACATAGGCGTTAACTTCCCAAGCATTAATTGGTTTGTGCTATTGGAAAGCAGTTAACTTTTGATTATGATGTTCAGCAGATGATGTAATGCTTTGCAGTTGCCTGATCATCCAGACACCCTTAGCTGCTTCCACAAGTTTTAGATTAGAAATAGAATACTAAACTAATTGGATTATTTGCTCATTTAGTACGGTAATACCTAAGTGGTAGCACTGGCTTTCAAAGGAAAGTTACAAGAAAAAAATTGTCTTTCTCCCTTATCAAAGGTCCATATACCTGACTGAATATTCAATTCTGTTCAAAGTCAGTGATAAACAAGTATTCATGTATGATCATTTACTGAGTTCTGAGCTTTTGTGTATTGTGTTAAGCAAAAAGATATTCCCCTGTTAAACATACCCTCATTTAATTTCTATGAATAGCCCTTTCTTAAGAAAGATGAGTAGAAGTGGACAGTTTCACCTACACCATTGCTTATTTCTCACATGTACTCTCCAATTTCTACTGAAGAGTAGAGCAATATCCATGCAGGAAGTTAAAAAAAATTTTTGCTTTTCATCATTACAAAAGCAAATCAGGCCAGCTTTTCCACAAGATGTCATGCAAAATAGGAAAAAAAGCAATGGAGAAGTGATTTGAAACCAAGCACTCAATGGTAATGAATGGGCTGCTTCGCAACAACCTTGGTGCAGAGAAAATTCTGTTTCCTAATAGAAACACTGAGGGAATAGAGTGGAAAAGATTACGTTTTATCAGGTAAAGTATTTGTTGTCTGCGCCAAATGGATTTTTCATCAAAACACACTTTTCCACAGAAAACTCTTGGGAAGGCTAGGTTTTAAAGCACACATATAAACAATAAACTAAAGATAACACAGCCTATTAATCTGAGGTATCTTTGAATAACGCCTCACGCATCTAGCGTAACAAGACCAAACACTGTTTGCAGCTGTGTGTATGTGAACCTACTGGAGTTCCTGAGGTACAGATCACATAAGGCAGATCTTACGCAAAAGTATTATAACCAATGCTGACTGTGCAGCAAACGCCCTTGCTTTATTTATGCCCTGTGATCCATACGGTGCTGAATGGCCCTGGGAAAGGAGCAGTCATCTAAAGCGACTCCCTCCTAGGGCCAGGCAACACGGCTGCAGTCAAGCTGCTCCTTTTACCAGTAGCAAAGCTGTAAAGCACATTTCCAGGTCCAGCTGTCAGCAAAGAGAGCTGCCTCCCCATCCCAGCTCCCCATCCCAGCTCCACCCTTTGCCAACAAATTCCTGCTTCTCTGCCCTTCCCTCAGCCCTGAGGGCACAAAGTTCAGCTCTGCCCCTGCTTCTGAAAAACCTGAAGCTGGTTCTGATCCTGTTACTATACATCACTTAAAGTATGTGCAAGTTTAAGGACGGGGACCAACTTTCAGGTATGCGTAACTTACTCAGAAGTCCGGTCTGAAGACCAGAAAAGGTTATTTATGTTGCTTGCCAAAACAGTATTTTGTCGAAACGATCTAGTGACTCCTGTACCACCCTTGCTTTGATAGCTGAAGTGCATGAGGCCAGATGAAGTGTTGTGGTATCTAAAATCCTGCTGTATTCTGTAACAGGCAATTGCCCTGCACAACGAAGATTGTTTGCAGCAGGATGATGACATTTTATAGCCTCTGGGCTGAGCGCTGCGTGCCTGGTCACCGGCAGTGACGCACACAGGTATGTCTGTCTGCTAACAGGTCTGCAGACCGTACTCTTGGTTACAATTTAAATTTAATAAGCCAGATTCAGTTTCATAGCACCAGATCTACCAAGGGGTGGAACCAAAGTTGCATTTGGGCTGACAGCGTTAACATTTATCGGGAAGGAAGCTGGCAGGGCTGGCCCCAGGGAGAACCACTTACTTCCCCAACCCTTCTGCCTCTCCCCATCCACACCCTCACCCAGCTCTGGAGCTCCTGCTGCTCAGGGCAATGACTGAAGCAGAGGGCTGCTAACCTGCACTGCATTGTGGTTCATTAAGCCTCTAAGCCTTTATGCCTATTCAAATTTAAACTAGAAATACAGTGGAAGAATTATGTGGCTTAAAAACAAAACCTTTATTTTTTCTGCCTTTTAAATAAAGACACTTTGGCGTGTACATCCATCTGCTTCCATCTAGTAAACAAACAGTATTATAACTTAAAAAAGAAGCTAAAGTAGACAAATGCTCTTGAGAAATGTTAAAGACTGCTTACACTGGCTCAGAAAGTTATGAAACCAGCTTACATGTAAAATTGTTGTTTGCTATCTTTATAAGAAATCATGACTAATACAAAAAGATTGCAGGAATCCAGGGGAAAAACAGCCAGCCCCCTAGCAGAGTAGGGGCCTTTCCCAATGCTTTGACCCTTGCCACTCTAGAATGCAAACAGCTCATGTTAAGCACAGCCTAGGTTTAAAAGAGATAAATTCAGACGAAAAAAAAAATATCTTGAAGAGGGGGGAATGAACTACTGGCTTTCTACCATACTTTCTCCTAAAAGTCTATGAACAAGGAGAAAAAAATATACATATATCTACACCACATAGCTATTCAAAATTATTCTGTTTAATAAAATATTGTACACACTGTGTGCCCTACGACCCAAACTGGAATCTCTAGACATCTCAGTTAAAAGGAGATAGGAATTTAAAGTTTTTCAGTTTGAAAAATATTATGATTATCATCCATTTTATCAGTCCAAATTGGAATAATTACTATTGCATTTGGAATGACAAATAAAAAGGAGATTTGGACTGAAAGTCATAAATGTTCCTTTACAGGAATGACTGATAAGTTTGTTACAGTCTGGATGCCACTCCCTGCAAGAAGTGCCCCTGAATTTGACATGTTTAAATTCTAAAAAGTTTTCAGAAAATAAATACTACCTATTTATTCAACATATTTAAAGACTCCAACTTTTACACGACACCCTCAGCTACAGAGGAGTCAAATCAAGTTCATCCCTGCCATTTCTCTATCCTTATTTAATCACACATCAAATATATCATCTCTGATTACAGTCCCATGCTAATTACCAGAATTTTGATGTAAATTAAGATCATAACACCCTGTCAGAAAAGCAGGCAGTAGTTGCAGGCGTTTCTTTTACAACAACTATGTGTTTCTTTTATGCTTGCAAAGTCCAGTGGATAAAAATGAAACATCATGGAGGAAAACAGCCTCGCCCTTGGAAAATTCAGTGGAAAGTGTCAGCAGAACCAATCCCAAATTATACAGCCCTTACTTCTGTGACTTTGCACAAGTTTTTAGCTATAGAGCAGATTTTTGCTGTTATGTTCCTTAAAGGTTCTTTTGTCTCACTTTCATCATTTTCACGAGCAAAGACTGATCTACTTTCCCAAAGCAGGGAACTGCTGTTGAGGTTAAAGCAACTGCTTTTAAAAACATTTTAAGTTCCCATATAAAGCACATTCGTTTCCTAGTGATTCCAGTTTTGCTGCAAACAGATTTCTACAGCAGCCTACTACAAAGGGGAAAATGAAAGCACAGGAAGCAGTAAACTCCAGTAAGTTTACTTTTAATCATTTAAGCTATTTTTTTCAACTCCTCGCGTGCATTAAATAAAAGCAGTTATTGTGTAAACTCCTCCATGTACATGAAATATTTCAAAACTGAAAGAATTTCTTCTGCCTATACCCTTCTTTTCTGGTGGCAACAAATCCAGCCTGTACAAAATTGCACCAGGTCACTTGAGAAACACAACTCTTAAAGCTTGTCGGGTCTACAAAGAGCAACAAAGAACTACAAAAACCTACCTTCTGCCTCACAAACGTTAGTTTTCAGGAGGGTACAGCCGGGAAGAAAAGAGCTGTGGCCTTGCTATGGCTTTTATAGTGCTCTGCAGCACGCCCCACCTAGCAACCAGAGTGTTTCCACAGCCCCGGTAACTGGTTGCTCTTTGCTACAGGCTAAATTGGGGTATTGTCCAAAACACACAGAACTGCACAAAAGAAGTCATTGCAAAACCATGCGCTGGAAGGAAGCAGGAGCAGATTACATAGGGGAAAAGACAACTCATGAGCATGCCTTGGTAGGTTCCAGTCTCCACAATCAGAGCCCTCACTGTAGTGAATTTCCATAAATCTTTTGAGGTTATTGGATTAAAATACTAAAGAGACAAAAGCTAAGCTTTAATTACTTCCTGGACTTTTTGACACCTCTTATACAAGTAAAAAGTGAATATATTAAGACATCTCATTCCCCAGTGAAAATTAACAACAAAAAAAAAAAGAAAAGTAGAGTGGAAAAGAGTTAACGCAGGTTCTTGGCTTTACTGAGCTCTGGCAGCTATTAACTCTGCTTCTGGCCATGAATTCACAGCAGAGTTGCCTCAGTAATAAGACACCTCCAAAAACGAATCTCCCTATACTATGTCAAAAGGGCACTGGGGGGTTTTACGATTTTTTTTTTTTTTTTTGGGAAAGGTAGCAGTTCGGACCTGCTAAGCTTAACAAAAGTGAGAAGAAGAATTAGGTACTTGCATAATTAAAAATGGTTTGAACCACTTGGCTTAAACCCTGAAGTTCAGAGGGTGCTGGCCTGCCTGCCAGAAGGGGTGATCCACAAGCTTTCCCTCATCACGCTGGCCAAACGCCCCTTCCAGAGCACTTCCGGCACAGCGCCGAGCGCACGCATGGCACGCGTCTCCGGTGGGCGCAGCTCGCGCTGCCCCGGGAAGAAGTACCAGTCTCAGAAGGGGAAGCATCTGAAACTAACAGCTTGGCCTATCTGCCCAGCTGATACAGACCTGCTGCAAAACGCTGGCAGCAGTAGAAAGGTGAAGTAGGGCTGATGTGCCTCTGATAAACCTGCATGAAATACAGCCTTTTCTGGAGCCCTGCGTTTAGCAGTTAATGAAATGAGGTGGGAGGGGCACAGACTGCAGGGCAGTGTAAGAGGGGTCACCTGCTGCAAATGCTTTCATTACAGCACCCTTATGTTCAATTTGCTTCACAAAAGGGCTATTTCAACTTTGGAAACAGGCTGCTTCTTTTTTTCTTCTTCTTCTTTTTTTTGTTTCTTCTCTTTAATCAAGTATGTGGTGCAGCAAGCATGCACCTTCCTGTGCCCTGCTCCCTCAGGGCAGGGGGACGGGTACCCATGGCAGCCCCCAACCCTGGCCCCAAGGAGCCCCCGCAGCGCCAGGACAACAGTCTTCTCCTGCATATAGCACCTTCCTTCTCTCCTCCGCACTACATGTGTTATTTAGCAATATATTAGTATTTCAGGTGTTTTCAGACAGCTGAATAATTGAAGGGGTCTGCCAGTTTAAACGCTGATATTGTCAGCAAGCTGTCAGGTTGCATTGAGTTTTGTTTGTTTAATTATTCTGTGCGAAAGTCAGATTACTTCTGCCTTCCTGACCTTGTCCATGTCAGTATGAAGTTAACGTTATTCCTTTAGTGGTTTCCGATGTTGGCCAAAAACTGTGTTTACACTCTTTTTCTGGAACTGTTTCCCTTGCCTGTTAATGAGCATGACTAATTATAATCCATTTACACTGAAAAGCTGGAAGTATGTTTGTATCCTGGTTTTCCTTGCTGAGTCTTTCGAAGGCCGGAAATAACCTAGAAAGATAAGTTATGCAGACTCAGAGCTTCCTTATAAGTTGCTAGCATTTGCTGAGTAATGAAAATAATACAGCAGCATTTACTAGAGGCCTGTAAGGGCAGGAAACAGTGTGTTAGAAGTACTTAGTAAGACGTTCTTCCAGCTCAAACCTTTTTTAATTTGCTTTCTCAACAGTTGGACTAATGTGCTGTTTTCGTCACTGTAGTTTTCTACTTTTATTTTATTTACTTGTTTTATGTATTTAGTCTTTCAAGCCTGTGTTTCAGCTTTCGGAGTGAGCTGAGATGAAGCCATTTTGCTGCAATTCTTTTCAGGAGCTGCTTGCAATTGCTTTTTCTCTTTTCTAATGGGCAGAGATGTTGACTCATCGTCTTCCTGAAATCAGACTGAGTCATCAGAGCCCTTTACTGTATAGTAGTCTTACACTTAAAAATTGCAATTTAATTGGAGAGAACCTAAGCATTTATTGTTAACTGTTTAACAGTAACTCCATCATTTGTTTCACAAAGCTGTAGTAGTTTGTAAACAGCTTCAGGATTTGGTATTGTTTATGCAAAAGATGCAATGCATGGAGCTACTGTCATAATAGAAATGAGAGAAACTTTTTTTTTTACTTTTACACTCAAAACAACATGCCTCAGATACTGCTAGCATCAGTATTGTGATATAATAGTCACCTAGTAAAGTATACAATTGTTCCTGTGAGAACTGGAAAAGTACTCACTCAGAGTAAAAACAGAGCAAGAGAAGAATAGCACTTTTTGATAAACTACCAAATTTGGCCTCACCAAATATTTGCCTTGAGGCTGATGATAACAGCTCAAATGGGCAAACAGAGTTTCCCCAAGCCAGTCATCCTATAGAGCACTGGTGAAAGCCAAATAACACAGGAATTTCTTGGAGTCTGGGAGAAAGACAGGAGCCCTTACATCTGTTTCAGAGGCCAGTGACTCCCCTGCCTTAGAAATGCCCTTCTGTGTGCATTTCAGTGGGAATGCCGTAAAGAGGACCTATATTTGGGAAGGTTTGGAAATGGATCATTCTACCTACACTCAGCTGAGGAAGCCCATTGTACTGATCACCTTCAGATTACCCATGAGATAAATGTTAAGTGAAAACTGATGCTCACACATTGCATTGTTCTGAAATAGCATTGTCCTGCAGGAGCGCCTGAGTGTACTGAGTCAGATAATAAAATAAGTCAGAAAATAGAGCTCTGCCTGTTTCCCACCAGGTCAGTCATCCGTTTGGGACCAGCTGATAGCAAGCCAGAACAAGCTGGAAGCCACCTCTCTGTCTTGCACCCTGTGACTTCATTCCTTCTCACTAGCTTTTATACACACCTCGTGAAACTGCCGAGAAATGTATTACTCCATTTCCTTAGACAGCAAGAGCCTGAAGGGCAACCAGCTATACTCAGGTTTCAAGTAACAGATACAGTTAATACAGATGATACAGATACATATGATGTCACCACTGTATGAGTACTAACAAAGGCAGTAAAGGTTCTGGCAACACTTTCCAGTGCAAACCCAGGACTTCCCCCACTAATGCATATTTGGCAAAGTACAAATTCCTGTTTTAGGAAGAGTATCTCTATTAGGTTGTTCAGAAAAAAATCTTTCCTGCTTATTGAAGTATAGTGCGTTCTCAGATCTTCATCACTTTGACATTACAGAAGATTAAATTTCAGTTTCAGATAAAACAGCAACCCTATCTGTTGTTGTTCATCTGCTCATTTGCATCTAATCTTTGTGATTCTAGATAGGTCCATGTATAGTTGTGCTGTGATCATGAAAATATACAGTTTAACTAACTGTTTGCCTGGGTAGTATACAGTAGTGTAGACTTCAAATCCAGACACAGATTTTTCTTTTTACTTCCATGCTCTAAGAAAAAAATAGGAGGGGAGGGAAGGGGAGGGGTGGGGGGCGCGTATGTATAAGATAGGTAAGCAAAACAGCGGCTGCTGTGTTAAAGGATTTGCTTTCATCGATGCATTATTTCTCACTTAGTTCACGTTTCAGCTGCTGCCCTCTGCAATTTACAAAGGGGAAAAGATGGGAGAAAACAGGCAAAGCATGCATTTATGTATCGATAATATTTCAAATTAATTCATGAATATTTTTGAGGAATATTTATAGCTGGGATTCATTGTATTTGTTTTAGCCTTGCACAACATATTTATCATTCATCTCTCTCTTTCACCTTGGATTAGCCAATATTTTGTTAGTGTCTCATGAAATACTGAATTGGCATTGATCCTCTGGCAGGAGGAATTCTGTACTTTAATCGCACATGTACCTTCTGTCCATAAATAGGTCTAATACTTACTCTTCACTTAGCTGCAGTAAATACCTTTCTGTAGCTCAAGAGATTTCTAGAAGTATAAAGAGATTTTCTGTTTCTCATTGTAAACCATAGCTTGGCTATTCAGAAAACATGAAATGCTAGTAAACTGTCCCATACATAATGAAATAAACATTAGCCCATGTTGTAATAGGAATGCGCAGCTTAGCTATATGTGAAGTGATGACATCTCAGCATCACCTGTGGAACTAGAAATCCCATTCACTTTAAATAAACTAGAGCAATGTTACTGATTTCAGTGGACCCAGGAATTCATCTTAGGGATGCAGATTGAGAAACATTTCCAGAAGCTTTCTTGACTTGTCAGAATGCCTTCCAGGTAGAAGCCCAGACTCCACTATGGTTGTGTGCCAAAGTAATTTATATGAGACAAATCTGAGCCTTCTAGGAAGCTTCTAGGAAAAAAAGGTGTGGAAACCCTGGTTACACAAATCCTCTTCCAAATTGCAGTAGAGCAAAACAAACCTATATGATGGTGAAGTTCTCAGTAGTTTATGCACATGTACTCCAGGCCCGGGTCTTTTCCTCTTTCTTTTTTTTGTTGTGATGAAGGTAGTACTTCACTCAGGAAGGTACAACTCAGTGCACATGCAGTGGGAAGAACTGAGTACCAAACAGATGAGACAAGGAAGTGTGAGCGCATGAGCCTTTTACTGGCCTATGCTGAGTATCTACAATGCTAATCAGAGGGGCACATCAGAAGTGGCATTCAAAAAAAGGGAACACAAATGGCAGAGCTTTATTTTAAGCAATAGAACAATATATGACTGCTGTGAACAGCTTAGTGCCTTCGTGGAGGAAAAAACTCTTTTTGTGGACAAAAGTAAGGTAAGCTGCTGGCCTGCCACAGCTGGGTCTCGGAGAGGTGTAACCAGGCAATGTCTTCCCCTGAGCCGAGAAAGCTGGGTAAATAGTGCTCTGCATCTC